ATTCTCTATAAGATGCATTTTTTCTTAATATTTTTGGGTGTCTGGAACAGATTAATTGGATTTACATTACAGTGGTACCTTGACTTACGAGTGCCCCAACTTACCAGTTTTCTGAGTTACAAGCCATCGCTTGGTCGATTTTTTGCTTTGAGTTTCAAGCCAGCTTCAGATATGCCACTAGTTGGCTGCGTATCTGAAGTCAAATCCAACTCAGTATCCAGAGGAATGTCAAGTACTTCGTCCCATCCCACATGCTCTTCCAAGACATAATTGGAAGGATAATACTCCCACACTAATCCCAGATTGTAGTAAGGCACCTCGTCCGGGAAAGAGGTAACCTCCATTTCAACACTCGGTTTTCCCAGAAACATTAAGGAAAGCCTCCGTGATAATTACCTGCCTCATGGAGGTTCCTTCAGTGGATGGAGTACTGATAGTGGTGGGTGTAGTGAGGGAGGTGGGTTGAGAAGTGATGGTGGTTGGTGGAGAAGTGATAGATATGGGTAGAGTAGTGAAGGTGGTGGGTGGAGTAGTGTTGGTGGTGCTTATCTTTTCCAGCCTCCACCTCCACCAGCATCTTCCATTAGCCCAAGTCGTCTGATCTCCAAGGTAAATACACTTTATAAAATCAGTTTATTTCTTTATAGTCTCTTTTATGTTTTATACTATTTCTTATTTACAAATACATTTTTATTTAAAAACCAGTAACAAAAAAATTGGGGTGTTTTTTGGGGGCTGGAATGGATTAATGGCATTTCCTTTAATTTCAACGAGGAAAATTGATTTGATATACAGTACGAGCAAATTGAGTTACGAGCTCGGTCATGGAACGAATTAAACTCGTAAGTCATGGTACCACTGTATTTTTTTTTATGGGAAATATTATTATTATTATTATTATAATCAAAAAGAAGCGCTAAGCCTATGGGAAATATTACTTCAGTTTTCATACAATTTGGTTTTCGTCAGATTTTCTGGAATGAATTAATCGCAAAAACCGAGGTTCCACTGTAGTAGAAGTTGGTTGGAATGCAAAGAATTTTGTCCAAGAAAGACTTTAAACATAAAGCATAAGGGGAGGAATTGCCTAGTTGGATGTTTCTTAGAAGCATGAGAGGAAACTGAGGTAAGATCATCAGTGGCAGGTTGAGGTCGTTTGAACAGGAGGTTAGAGGTGGACTGTCCTGAGTTGCATGCACGATCCAAAATTTGACTCACTGTAGGGGGAAAAGCTGGGATTACAGTCAAAGCTGCATAGAGGTCAGATGTGTCTAAAGGGTCGGTCAGAACCGAGGTACCAAAGGAGGGTGACAAAATGTTACCCCAAAAAGGTACAGGTTTAGAAGAGAGGTCCAAAGAATGGTCAGAAGGCATGCCAGGGTCTGTAGGGATTGCTGCAGAAAGAAAGGGTCTGGGAGGAGGAAGGTCATGGGTATGGGTCTCCATGATAAGTTCCCCCCCCCCTTTTTTTTTTTAAATAAAAGGGGGAGGGAGGGGGGAGGCAGAATGTGGAAAGAAAGCTCCCAAGAGGAATGAAATTGTTGTATATCCTCCTCTGCACCCAAGAGCCGCAACATGGCCAGCAGTGTGGTTGCGGCATGGAACCCATGGCCTACTCTACCCTTCATGCCAGTTAATGGTAATCCAGAATAGCAACCTCACATCCACTGAGCCATCTCAGAGGACAAAAAAGAGGATGGTTGGAAACCTGCGGTCAGAATGCCATCACCTGGAACCGACAGGCAAGTCTCCAGAGATACATTTGTCACCTGCAGGACATCATAAGCCCCCCTCCCCCAACTCAGGAAGGGAGTTGGAAAATACCTAGGTGCAGATTCCATGGCAAACTACACTACTACCAAGGACCTCAATGGATTGGGATGGACAACACCCTTTCCCCAACCTAGAAGCTAGGATTTCAGAGGAGGAAGACCCCCCAAAGGCCAAAAGCAGGAAAGAATGTAAAGGGGAAGGATGGGAAAAAGAGAAATGGGAAGGATGGGGCAGGGAATGGGGGGTAATTAAGTTCAGTTGGAGGAAGACACCAAAAGCTCCAATTCCTCAGACCAAAAGCCTCTTCACTACAAAGAGCACCCTTTGAAGAGGAGGGGGGAAAAGGGACTAGAAGTTTAATTCCTCAGAACAAAAGATCCTGTGCCATGCCAAGGGACTTCTCATGTAGGGGCCACCACTCTTTAACCCTTTCAGGGTTTCGGACGTACTAGTACGGCTTACGCACTAGGGTTTTTGACGTACTAGTATGCCTATTATTATTATAATCAAAAAGAAGCGCTAAGCCACAAGGACTATACAGCGCTGCAGGGCAGGAAGGAAGCGAGGGCATCAGGTGGCAAAAGGGAGATGGATGAGTAATAGGTTACGGATAACAGCGGGGCAGTGGATGGTGAAAGGGTAAAGGGCAGCAAGAGACTGAACTAGAAAGGGCTGAGGGGAGTGCGAAAAGTATCATCAGAGTTTGTGGAGTAAATCGGTCGTTGTCAAGAAGTCAATGAGAGAGTCAGGATTAAAGGAGGGTCCATCAGCAAGAAGGGAAGGTAAAGAGAGAGTAGTAGAACGAAGACGACGTTGGAGGTAAATTCTGCGTGCTCGTTGACAGAGAGGGCAGTCTAACAGAATGTGGCTAATCGATACTGGAACTTGACACTGCTCACAGAGAGGAACAGGGTGCCTCTCCATGAGATACCCATGAGTAAGACGAGTGTGACCAATGCGAAGGCGGGAGAGAGTGGTCTCCCAACCTCGGCACTGATGACAAGAAGACGGCCAGTAACCTATGCTCGGTTTAATAGAATGAAGTTTGTTACCGAGCAGAGTTGACCAACGTTGTTGCCAACGGGTGCGAAGGTGGGTAGCTATTGCAGCAAAATAGTCCAGAAATGGAACACCTCGATAGGAAATTGGTAGGTCATGTACTGCTGACCGCGCAGCAGTGTCTGCCTGTTCATTGCCCTGTACGTCGATATGACCAGGGACTCAACAAAAAACAATATCTTTATGTTTGGTAGAGATACGGCGTAGCCAAAGTTGGATACGGAGAACTAGGGGATGAGATGTATCAAATTTTCGTATAGCCTGTAGAGCACTAAGGGAGTCTGAGACTACTAAAAATGATGACACAGGCATAGAAGCGATACGAATAAGTGCTGCAAGAATGGCATACAGTTCAGCAGTAAAAATGCTAGCTGAAGATAGTAAATGTCCGTGCACGACGCTGTCCGGAAACACTGCTGCAAATCCGACGCTGTCTGAAGACTTAGAGCCATCTGTGTACACAGTGGTGGCATGAGAATGGGAGTGGAAGTGATCAAGAAAAAGAGAGCGGGAAGCCACCGTAGGCAGTTGAGCTTTCGAGCAAGGGAGTGAGAAAGAACAGACCCGAACAGCTGGAACTTCCCAGGGGGGTAGGAAAAAGTGAGATGCTACATGAACATATAAAGGTGGTAACTGAAGGGAAGACAAGAATGAATGTAGGCGAAGAGATAAGGGACGGAGCAAACAGGGGCGGCGAACGAATAAAGAATGTCTACTAATATCGGTGACCATTCTATAAATGGAAGGATTGTGTATATCGTGAGAGCGTACATAGTAGCGAAGGCAATGGGCATCACGGCGATCAGACAAGGATGGAACATTCGCTTCCGTATAGAGGCTCTCAACAGGGGAAGAGCGAAAAGCACCAAGGCACAAACGTAATCCTTGGTGATGGATAGAGTTAAGGCTAGAGAGAGTAGCAGGAGAGGCCGCGGAATAAATCTGGTCACCATAATCGAGTTTCGATAAAACGAGGGCTGAATGTAGGCGAAGCAGAGTTCGACGATCAGCTCCCCACTAGTACGCCTAAATTCTAGCGCCCTCAAATCTAGTGAGAGAAAGCTGGTAGGCCTACATATGAAAGAATGGGTCTATGTGGTCAGTGTGTGCAGTATAAAAAAAAAAAAATCCTGCAGCACACAGTGCGTAATGAGAAAAAAAAACTGTGTTTTTGGATTAAAACAGCGACTTTGCACTGTATTTTCGTATGGTATTTATTGTTGTATTCTAGTTTTCCTGGTATCATTTTATAGAATGGAAGACATATTACAGAAATTGAGATGATTTTGACTGGTTTTACAATGAAAAGTACCTTGAAATTGAGCTCAAAGTAGCAAAAATGTTTGATTTTTACCAAAGTTCAAAAGTATACAAATCATGCTAAGCATCCAATACACATCAACTGGTGAGTCTAATATTCTTTCACAAGTGCGCCGATATTATTTATACCATTTCTACACTAATGCAGTAGTCTGCATAACAGTAAATCTTCTATATTTTGTGAGAATAAAAATTCAAAGTGGAAAGCAAAAGAATGTAAGAGGGGCATGGGGACGTGACTGATGAACAGAGGAAATGTTATTTTAGTGCCAGGAATGTCTTTCTTGTTTATTCTAGACCCTATTTGGAAACTGACATCTTTTGAAATTTGTGTGAAATTGGCAAAATTGCTAAATTCTGACCACTGTATTGGATAATTGAAATCAGTAAATGGGTGGTTTCTTGTACTCGTTCGATAGAAAAAATGAAATTCTAGCAAAATAGTTATGATTTTTGTCGACTAGTACACTTGAATTGGCCGAAAATAGGGCTCAAAGTGGGCAAAATTGCCAATGCGTAAACATCGTTGAGACCGCTAATTTTGTGAGAGCATAATTCAGTAAGTTTTCCATCAAATTTCATACTTTTAGTGTCATTTTGATCGAGAAAAGATTCTCTATCTTTTGATAAGAATTTTTTTTTCTTTTTTTGGAAATTTGGGTGACCCTGAGAACAAGTCTGGGAGAGGGCCTGGGGACCCTGAAAGGGTTAACTACCTTTTCAATAGTCACTTTAATTTCTGCTGCTATTTTGCTGTTTATGATCCACACCTGCAGTGTAAAATGACCCTTGCAGTTTGACACATTTCATCAATACTTCCAATATCATAAGTAAAAAATAGCAAGGGATCATGTTCTTACATATTTATTAGTTATTTGCATATTTTTTTAGGTGAAATAATAGACCTTTCGAAAAATTTCAATTATGTTAACCACCTTGTATATGTACTGTATAAGCAATGAGGGAGATCAAGTTAAGGATTCACAGTTCATACAACTTTTGAAAATTTGTGCCCTTAAAGAATGTATTATATTTAACTGTAAGACAGTCCTGTTTCAACACAAGACTTGCATCCAGATGATGTACCACTGAGCACATCTCCCTATACCATATTGCTCAAGTTGAATACTACAATACTGTAAATGCCTTTACCTGTTTCATAGCAGATTAATACAGTACAGTATTTATAAATTTTATATCTATGAAATGCTGACACCACATTTCAAACATTTATCCCAAAATTGAAGTTGAAAAAGCTAGGTGCAAAATTATTCAATTATGTTACTTCTGACAAGCAAAAACATTTTCCAGAGAGATCTTAAAATGAAAAAAAGTATTTTACTGAATAGTTAATACAGACACAAGATACTAAATAAAATTTTGCAAAGTCGAAGAAATTAACATTAATGGATAATGGTAACACTGGAATGTGATATACAGAGTTCACAGAAATCAATTGATACTAACATAATTAATATGCTTCTTCAATTAAAAAAATAAACACTCAGCATGTTGAATACACTTTCACTTGCCGGTTCATATACTTGATACTAAGAAATGGCCACAGGCCCAAAACATAGTCACTATTACACTGTAAAATGAAGAGAGAGCATCTTTTACACTGAAAGATTCATTTACAGATGCCTAAGTACAAAACCAGTGCCCTCACTATCTTAGGAGAATTATTAATTTAAGATACTACTGCTTAAGAAAAAACATTTATAAACTACCTGTAGCTGCACAAAACTAAAAATCATTATGATCTTTCCAGCTCAAAATTTCAACTCCTGCAACTTTTCAGAAAAAATTTAAAAATATACCAAGTTTTAATGGAGATGCATAATACAGCTACTGTACACTTTATGAATACAATAATCTACACAAAAAAAAAAAAAAAAAAATTACAGTACTTCATAATTTTTGCAATCACAATACTGTATGACCATGAATGTATATTTTTTATTCTGACAAACTGACAAAAATTATACATTATTACAGTATATTTATTTTACCTGCCAGAAGCACTATTAAAACTTGTATACTGTAGTGCATTTTTCGATTTCCATTACAGTGTATCTACCCAACGTACTGTAATAATGTAGAAGTCTCTCACCAAATAAGTTATGTAAAAATCTTGCCTTTTTTTTTTTTTTTTTTTTTTTTTTTTTGTCACTAGGTTAGATAATTTATGCTCTCTCCATTCACAGGAATGGTATCCTCCTGAGTCTTAAGAAAACAAATTTCACACCGTACAATAATAAGAAAACTTGAGTCTGAGCAAACCTCGTTCATCATGAGAAGTAATGCATTACTGCTACACTCATGTGTATGTAGGAATAAATCCATATCTTTCACTATTAGGAGGAGGAAGAATAAAATTAAGAGAATGAAGAGGAAGTGAAGAGTAGAGAAGCAGAGATTGAAGGAGAGAGCAAGGAGGGATGAGAAGTTTGCAATAATATATCCTTAACAAACATCAGTCTCATAAAAAACACAAGCACATTTCTACTATATATCAAAGAGGGGTAGCTCTAAATTTGCAGTCTTGCGAGACATTATTAAGTCCATTAATATATTCAGAGGCACTGAAAAACATGTAAATAATATACCTCAATATCTGCATCATCCATTACATTCTTCAATACAAGACAATACAGATCAGTGTACTGATACTAACTATATCACATGACTAGAATATAGTAAAGACAGTATCTGCTATTTCAAGGAAAAATAGCAGAGAAAATTAAGCACAACCTCTGCTGATACTGTGCCATACCTTCAGTCAACAAAATGTAATAAACAGTTACCTAGTTGCCTGAATACTAAGCATATTCTAACAAATAAAACCATCACAAAAGGTTAGCAATAGTAATCTTTGTAGGAACTGACATTGATCATTGCTAAAAATGCTTTTGCTAACTTCATTTATATCATAATATAATTAACAAAATCAGGATATAGCACAAAAAAAAAAAAAAAAAAAAAAACTGAAGACCAGAAGAAAAAAAATAGCAGAAATATGAGAAAATATAAAATGGAGATGCACAACCCATGAGACTAATGGCAGAACTTCAACCTCAGCTGTTCTATGTTACATGAAGGAAAGATACAGACACACACATTTGAAGTATAAGTGTCAAAAACAACAACAAAAATAATCACTTTTTATAAGCAACTACAAATAAAAATGGCGAATATACCATAAGTGTTTCTCCCTCTTCTAATGAGAGAACACAATGTTACATGTTGCTATGCAATATCAAAATGCATTTAAATTCTGGTGCTCGCATGCAAGAAGTTTGTTTTAATTATACAGCACACATGTATGCAGTGTGCATAATGGAGAGTACAGTAATGTATATCTATCAGTAATTTTCTAGTAGTTACAGCAGCAGTGCTAAACTTGTGTGCCATCTTCATTGCTGAGTTTGTGTTTACTAATTTATTAATGTTTGCCAGGATTAAGTCACAGCTCCAGGCTCCACATACTACTGATGTGTTTTATGGATGCCTGGCCTCCAGGGATCGATTATGTCAACTCTTGAAACTGTATGGTGTCTGCCTCGACCACTTCTTTACCTAGTTTAACTTTCTACCCCGAGAGTAAAAAAAAAAAAAAAAAAAAAAAAAAAAATTAGCATCCCTAGCTCATTTGCGTTTAGCTGCCTTTAATGTTTCCTCGTTCTTTCTTGCATTTTAAACAACCTGTTCCAGCACTTGTATGGTCTTTTTTTTTTTTTTTTTTTTTTTTTTTGTCAATCACGTTTCCTTGGTTTTCCTCATTTCTAGGGTTATTGAGTTCCACTACCAATCTTGTCTTGAACCTTTGAATCTTCTAGCAGTACTTTATCTTACTTTATATGCTTGATCAGATACAGACTTTGATAATGGCAATGCATATGATGGGCCTTTTGCAAGTTTCATACAGTATCCTAAATGATTTGTTGTTAAGGTTCATGAAAGCAGTTCCTAGGTTAGCTAGTTCAGCATAGACTGCTGAGGTTACACAATTGATATGTACTTTCAGTGATATGCTTGGTGTAATGGTTATTCATAGATCTTTTTATTTCAAGTTTGCAGTGTCTCCTCTCCCATGCTATATTCTATATCCAATCCTCTTGCTCCCTTTTCTTCTCATCCTCTTGACTATCAGGATTCAATTCCATGGCTTCTCTAGTAATCTTTTTTGTTTGTTTCATATGAGAAGTTATTCATGGCCACTGATACCACAGTCTATTCTATTCTCTAGGTATTCTTGCATCCACTTTAGCACCTTTCTTAATTCTCATGCCTGTACTTAGTGACTTGTGTTAGCTCCACCTTTTGTACCTCTTTGAAGGACATTATTAGAACTTGGCCTATCAAGACTTCTTATACCCACTAATAAAGCTATGTATGGAGTTTACCTCCATAGTCAGTTTATTCAACTTCCTTACCACCCTGACACTAAAAAAGTACTTCCCAACATCTTTGTGACTGATGAGAATTAATCTAAGTCTGCCCGAAATGCCTAGCCATGCTAGGTGTTCTAGTGGCACCCTCTGTAATTAGTACTTTACTACATGTAAACCACACAATAACCAAATTCTGTAAACTCAGCATTGTAATCCTTATAGAGAATAAACTTTGAATTGAATTCAAAAAAGTTTCTATGGCCCTTTGTTACTGGATTGTCAAAAAAATCTCTATCCACCCTATCAATTCTTTCTATCTTATAGTCTACTAGTCACATATTTCCCGGTTCTCTTTTCCGGTGTCAGTAGATTTACTTCTAGTCTTTCCTCATACAACAACCTATTCAGCTCTGCGACTATTTTGGTTTCAAAAACTTTTGGACATTTTTAGGCTTCTGAATATACTGTACTTGAAAAGGTGAGACCTGGTACTGTGTATTCCAAGATGAGCCTGACATAATTTATAATCCATTAAAGGTTTCTTCACTGAGGTTTTTTAAGACTATTACTTTTCCTAGCATTAAACTGGCTGCCAAAGTAAAACTGTTGGTGTGTTTCTCAGGACACATGTACTAAGTAACATTAACGCCCCGAAAACTGGTGGCGTGTTTCTCAGGACATATGTACTAAGTAATGTTTATGCCCCAATATTTTTTTGTTCACCAATGTAGCAGTTTCTTTCCTCCCAGTTTGTATTCCATCTCCAGTTTCTCCTTTTTCCTTCTTGCATAACTTTACACTAATTTAGACTAAATTCCAGCAGCCACTGGTTTGATTGCTACTGTAACCTGTCTCAATCTCCCTGGAAGCAATGTTTATCTTAGTATTCTTGAATATTAAAAGCCCTTTCTGGTAAGTTATTCACATGTTTGAGAATAGGAAGTATGGTAGTCCTTGAACTATTACCCTTGCCCATCCTAACACTTCCTCCATTAATGACACTAGTTTTTACTCCTGGTTGCTGCTGATGTGTCCTGAGTATTATGTTGCAATCATGTTTCCCTAGTTTCTCTCTCTCATAGGGGTGTTAGGTCAAGGTTTTAGTTTATAGTAATAACCAAGCACTAAACCTATACTGGTCATACAGTGGTTCTAGTTTAAACTGTGGCATCTCCATTCCTGCCAATGTTGCAACCTTCTTGGTTGGCAGGCTGTCTGGTACACTGTACTGTCTTATGTGACTTGGCTGTTTCTTGTGTAGTCAGTCTTACCCTTGAGACAGCTTCAAGACTGTTCAAAAATATATGACAGGTATCTTATTCTGTTTAGTTAAGCAATCCTCATGTGTTCATCAGCATATACTTAATTTCAACCATAGGCAGGGGCTGTACCCCAGTGCCTAAGACCATGTATAAATACTGTATGCTTATTTGTATTTGCTGGACTTCAGTTCTAGTTTCTCAGTCCATTTCTTTATGATCAATCATCTGGTGCAGTTTTTTTCTACTTTACATTCTATTGTATCTACTATTACATTCATGTATGTTTTATACTTCACATCCTATACTGTTCCACATCACAATCATGATGTTAAAAAACTTTCTAATATGTTACTCATTTGAGTACAGTGGTCCCTTGGGTTAGTATATTAATCCATTCCAGAACACTTATCACACCTCAAAACTATTGTAACTCAAACATCAAAATATGTGGTTTTACAATAATTTATTCTGGAAAGTGTACCTTGAACTTGCACGCTCAGATATAAATTGCAGGCTTTGTATCTACATTCATCTGCTGCTCTTAGCCACAATAACGGTTTTTTCCATCTGATAATTTCTCTTGCTTTTTTCACTAGCTTAGATTTGTCAGCCTCTTGAACACCCTGTATGTCCTTTTGTTTGATAATAGAGAAGGGTGGTTGGGGAAAGTATCATTCACTTACTAATTCTAACCCCTGCATCTTTTTTTTTTTTTCACAATTTTTTTTTGATCTTCCAAAAAATTGCTTGTTTATGGCACACTTTAGGGTCAACAATGACTTGATAATACAAAAGATGGCATAATTAAATCACAAATGTGTATCGCATCTCAATATTTTCAGTGCAACTCAAAACTAGAGTCCTTTGAGGGTAAATCTTAACTCGAGGAATCACTGTATTAAATTTCAATTTGTGTTTTGACTCGGTCCTTCCATTAGGAAGGAACTGTCATACTGCTAAGTATCTTGTATGTCATGATTATATCACCTCTGACTCTTTCAACCTGCCTTAACACCAACAAAGGCTTTTTACTTTATATGTCACACATTTCTCTATGCTATTTAGGCTAGGTTAATGTCTTTAATCATATTTAGCCAATTACAGTATTAGCAAAAATTAATGCAATAATGGTTAAAGACACTTATAGCAAATGGAAACCTTATTATATGCCATATCACATGCGAGGCTTTATTAAATGCGTGATAGTCTTGTGTATGTGAAATGTAGTATTAATAAAAGTCTCCTTTTGCTATACCTAGATTTTTAACCACTTGTCAGCTATGCCATACTTCAACAATGCAATAATGCATAAATGAAAAACTATACAGTATTTTGATGTATGAACAAAAATGAAATATTGAAAAGTCTGCAGAATCGTGACAGTCAGGGCCATAGGTTCACCTTATACTGTCACAGTTGATTAAGCAATAGCATTAAGTCACGGTAAAATACCAAAAACGGCTTAGGACAGTGGTTCTTAGCCTATTTTGGGTCATGCCCCCTATGGCAATTGGTCTTCATCTTGATGTCTTCCCTCCCCTTTCATATATAATTTAAATGTGAAAACCTAAAAAAAAATTATTTAAATAGGAAAACTGAGAAACTAGTTTTCATTCCTACTCTTTTGAATATGTAGTTAATTTTATTATTATAATCATAACCAAGTGCTTGACCTGTAAGGGTCTTGAATGGTTAAAAGTAATTTCTTTTTTAAGAAGCATATCGCAAATACACAACACATTCCTTATTTTTGCTCCAAGTTCATGTTTCCCTGGAAATTACTCTCACCCCTTCTTGGTTAAGAACTGCTGGCTTTGATGGGATTATTTGCTCCACTAGTGATCAAATTTCAGTTTTTATTCTTTCTATGCAAGTAGTTAATGCCCTTTGCTCCATTATTAATCTAGTGTCAAGTGTTTAAATGTTCTACAGTCCCTCCAGGTTTTATGTAAGAAAGGGGCCTCATGCTAACACTGTACAGTATAGTAAAAGGCTGGTCTTGCATATCTTTAATTATTCCTTGTTCAAGTACCTTGAAGACAGTCTTCACTTTTGCCAACCTTGCATAAATCATTGCAGTAATCCTTGCATATAATACAGCATCTCCAGCCTCCTTTCCCTTACACCCTACTACATTATGTTTAGCATTTACCATGAGTTTTGAAAAGCCTAGCAGTAGACTGTTCACATCTATCAAATACTGTATCAGGCTTTCTGTCTTTTAACCAGTTTTTGTTTATCCAATGGAACACTTGAACCCATCTCCATTTTGTGTGTACACAAAGTAAATATGTGTAAATGTATAACTGTGGTTCTTGTTCTTTTGTAACATCAAGGTTACTAATACAAGACTGAAAAAGGTTCTCTAACTAGACCAAAAATATTTGAGTTGTAATACTTTCATACTATTCAATGTATGTTACTCAGACTTTTTCACATTTGTTCTAAAAGGTGTTTAAGTAGCTAATTTTGATGTTAAGCCTGAAAATAAGAATGTAAAAGAATTATTTATCACTGACCGGTAATTACCTTCATATACTATGGTACAGACAACAATGGAACACTTAATTTCACAATTACTTTCATCACCAGAATTCAAAGGTAGGAAAGTTGAGTTTTAACCCAACCTGATTTTTCTTTTATGTGCACAAGTACAATAAGTGGAAATCTCTCTTTAAAATAAAAGTGTAAGAGCTCCAGTGCTTCAGATTGCACAATCTTAGTGAAACAAACAAATTTATTCCAAAAATAAATAATCCCTCCATAATTATCCTTGTATTTCATAACCATGACTTATTTAAGCTGTGACATCATAAGCATCCATACCATGAAGCCCAAAGACTGAAATAATGCTGAATAAAGTAAGTACACTGGCCATACTTAAGGTAGAACAAAATTATATTTTTAATATAAATAATATGTAAGAAATAAAACTAAAACTCTTAAAGTAAAAAAATAAAGATCTATAAATAATAAGAAATAATTTGAATATTAGGTATTTACACAATGCACTTCAACATAAATATGGTACACACAATATCAGTGATGATTGTACAACAATGAAATGTACATCTTGTGTGGTGTACTTGTGTGACCTTATGATCACCCTGAAGTACTGCTGACAACATTGGAATACTGCACTTCAGTATCTTATCACAGCCAGATTATAAATATACCTAAAAATGCTGTGCGTGTGTGTGTGTGTGTGTGTGTGTGTGTGATTTTTAAGTAACGTCTGACAACATAAGAGATATGTTATTAATACTAATTGAAATCAAAATTACTTACTGGAGATACTTAGTAATTTTACAACAGACTTCAATGCACATTTAACAGCAGAAATATAATAAAAAAAAGATTAACGCACACTCGTATTTAACGCTGTATAAATACAATCAACAGGAAAGCAGTCCTTATTATTCTTGGTATAAGAAATTTAATAATTTCCCTGGTACTTGATACTGCTTTGAGATTTCACAGCATAAGGAAATATTAAATACTGGTAGTTAACCCACAGTTATTGAAAATAAGTATTGTATAGTGATAAGCACCACTTAACTAACTTATTACTTTACAAAACAGCAAATTCACCTAGTGTATTATGCTTCCAGTGTATTTAGCCCTCAGACTATACATTTTTTAAGTCAAGGGTTTTTCAAAATGTGTCTGAGTTCTGCAGTGTAATCTTCAAGACTTTAAATAATAAATTTATCCTATAACTTCAATGATGAACTCCAGCTATAGTTTTGTCTTCTAAAACAATTTCTAACTGATAATCAACCACACAAATCTCATGCAATCACTAGATATTGTAAATACAACTTTCAGAATGTTTACATCATTTCAAGGATGTTACATCAAAATTACCATTAATTCAAAGCTTCTCTCAGTATATAAAAAAATATTTAAATAAAATGAGAGGAAATTAAACCTGTTATATAATAATAATAATAAAACTTTCAACATTTATCAATGTTAAAATTTCTTCATGAAACTATATGCTGTCAGCAATGTTTGGTACTATAACCGAGTATTCAACTTCCAACAACACATCACCGCATATCCAAAGTTCCCAGCTTGGCTACGTTGAAGACGAAGAAATCCAACGAGAGCAGCATGCGAAGTCTGAGCGAGTTTCCCTCGTGGGAGGAAGAGAAACATTTGATACATCTTGGGGAGATAGGTCTCCAACCTTGCTATCCTGTAAATATATATATATATATATATATATATAAAAGTAAATTACAAGAGGAAGTATGGAATTAACTAGATATGTTTCAATTGCTTTGCCATCAAGTGGGGTACTCTATATATTCCTCCACCAAAATAACCCATTTTTATCTACACATTGCCCTCTTCCTGCTTTTATTCCATTGTCTCCCAAGACTTATCAATGTTGCTTTTCCTCCAACTTAAGTCATTCATTATAATAAAGGAAATCAACACAACTGATACATCAACAACACACCATTGCTAGCCATAAGTTTCCAGCTGGACTACATTGTAGATGAGGAGATCCAACGAGAGCAGCATGCAAATTCAGAGCGAGTTTGCCTTGTTGGAGGAAGAGCAACATTTGATGTATCTTGGGGTGACAAGTCTCCAACCTTGTTATCCTGTACAAAAACCAAAACAAATTACAAAATGAAGCATACAGTATATAAAAACTGAAATTAACTAAACATGTGTAGTATGCTAGTAGACAACCACAAGCATGAGAAACCCCCTGAATACTATTGGTCTGTTTAATAAACATGCAAAATGTCAGGTAATCTTACAAATTTCAACTTACATTCAGTTGTTACATGCCTCAGTTAACATTTTCCTCTTTCTCCTAGCAAAGGGAGAAATATTTTGGAATATATATTCATTACCAGTTATTTCCAGCTTAAGCATTCATCAATACAATGCATGTGAAGTACCTTAATCATTTCACTGTCTAGACCCCTGAAATTTTTTTTTTTTTCTGAAATGATAGAGAATCTTTTCTGAAGGTAATGACACCAAAATTATGAAATTTGATTGAAAACTTACAAAATTATGCAGGCGCAAAGTTAGTGGTTTGATTACAATTTGCACATTGGCAATTTCGCCCACCGAGACCTATTTTAAGCCAATTCCATTGCTCCATTTGACCAAATTCTTAGCCCTTTTGCTAGTATGCCTTCCATTCTATTGACTGAACAAAAGAAACTGCTCATATAAAGTACACAGAAGTTGATAATTTGGCCAATTTTGAACAAAAGTAAAAAAAATACCCAATTAAAAACAGTCCAAAATAAACAACGTACCTAGTTGGGTTATTGAGGCTAGGACTTTGGGTAGTTTCAAATTTAGGTTGGATAAGTACATGAGTGGGAGGGGTTGGATTTGAGTGGGACTTGCACATCAGAGCTTATTTCTTGGGTAGCATTGAAAATTGGGTTGGTCAAATGTTTTGTTAGTGGGATGAATTGTAAAGGACCTACCTAGTATGGGCCAACAGGCCTCCTGCAGTGTTCCTCCTTTCTTATGTTCTTATTCCTGGCACTAAAACAATATTTTATCTGTTCATTAATCACATACCCAGTCCTTTCCTATATTACTTGCCTTCCACGTTGAATTCACAATCACACAAAATAGAAGATTTAATATATTTGTCAGGTAATTAAATATAACCAGGAATGATTGGTTATGGTTTACAGTGCCCCATTAATTGAATCAGACATTAAAAATTCATAAAACAGATTAGGGGGTGAAGGGAAGCCTTACCCATCCTCAGGAAAATAGGCAAAAAATTTAATATTTCTGCTGCTTTGAGCTCAATTTCAAGCAACTTGTGGTCCTGAAACCAACCAAAATAATTATTACAGTAGTATGTCTTCTATCAATGATACCAAAAGAGCCAATAAAACCATAACCATTTGAGAAAACACCTATTTTAAACCATACACACGGTCAGTTTTGCTTTTTTCCATCTTGCTCTGAGTAGGGCATTTTTTTTTTTTTTATACTGGGCACACTCACTGCACAGACCCATTCTCTCATATCTAGGGCAAAATTTACTGCTCACAGCTTATCTGAGTGAGCTGAGCTCATGATGTAGAACTATGTGAAGGTCGTTAACCTTAATGATATAGTTTTACATGACAGCCACTAAAAGGGTTAAGAACTGAGTAGTGATGTGTCAACAATAACAAATGTTGGGCTGAGACAATGTGGCATGGCCTTGCTCACGTCAGCAACTCTAATCATAAATAAAGATTTATTTAATTTACAACACTGGTTAGAAGTTTGTTACTAATCCTCAACAAATATTCTAGGTGTGTATAAGCATTTACAAACTTTATAAACAATTAACATTTTATCTAAATTACCATTATATCTAGTATAAAATGCTTAGCAACTTGGCAGTATGAGTGCAGATTTCCAGCAAAATTACTGCAAGAACATGGGATTGCACAGATAACAGATCACTAAAATTTGTTGATATCCATAGCAAATTCTGACCTAAGTTCAAAAATCTATAGTGCAGGTTATAATATGGATGTTAATGTGAATGTAAGATAAGAAATCCTTAAGTCAGGAAGTCATAGACGGAGATATGGCTGTACTGAATATACTATAAATATACAATTGTATTAAATGATTTACATAGTTATAAGCACTAACCTTGTCAAAATGTCCACTTCGAACAAGCTGCATTTATTAAAAGAAAAATGAATAATAACTGTTAGCTAATAAATTTACAGTGTACATAAGAAACGTGAAAGAGCAAGAAGTTTTGTTATAATACTAATGAAGGAATACTACAAGAAGGATATTATAGGAGCTTTAATATTTTACATCTATATATTAAGCCTAAATTATTTCTTTAACTATTTAAAGGTTACAATTCCCAGGGAAGTAACGTGCCTCTTTAAGAAGCAAAGTGTCTTAGGTGGAATGTCCTTGTCCCATTGTTTGTATTGCATAAATCTTTAACAAAATAATGCTGCTAAAAACTTGCTTAAACCAAAACTCATTAACCTCTAAACTGTCCACACGTAGATCTATGTTCACTTGTGGCAGGCTCCAAACGTAGATCAACGTTTTATTTTTCATTCCTTCAAATTTGCCGCGATAGGTCTGATTCGCCTAGACATGAAGGAATGGGTCTGTGCACTCAGTGTGCACACTATAAAAAAAACTGGGGACCATTTAGTACCTTGTGGGAGCACCAGTTCAATTGAGCTCCAGCTAGAGCAAATAGCATGGCAAACACCCAAATCTGCATGACAGTGTCTTCCATTGCAGACACTGCAAGGCTCCAGGCAGACATCAACCAAATCTTTCCGTGGGCTGCAGAAAACAATATGAAGTTCAACGATGAGAAATTTCAATTACTCAGATATGGTAAACACGAGGAAATTAAATCTTCCTCAGAGTACAAAACAAATTCTGGCCACAAAATAGAGCGAAACACCAACGTCAAAGACCTGGGAGTGATCATGTCGGAGGATCTCACCTTCAAGGACCATAACATTGTATCAATTGCATCTGCTAGAAAAATGACAGGATGGATAATGAGAACCTTCAAAACTAGGGAGGCCAAGCCCATGATGACACTCTTCAGGTCACCTGTTCTATCTAGGCTGGAATATTGCTGCACACTAACAGCACCTTTCAAGGCAGGTGAAATTGCTGACCTAGAAAATGTACAGAGAACCTTCACGGCGCGCATAACGGAGATAAAACACCTCAATTACTGGGAGCGCTTGAGGTTCCTAAACCTGTATTCCCTGGAACGCAGGAGGGAGAGATACATGATTATATACACCTGGAAAATCCTAGAGGGACTAGTACCAAACTTGCACACGAAAATCACTCACTACGAAAGCAAAAGACTTGGCAGACGATGCAACATCCCCCCAATGAAAAGCAGGGGTGTCACTAGCACGTTAAGAGACCATACAATAAGTGTCAGGGGGCCGAGACTGTTCAACTGCCTCCCAGCATACATAAGGGGGATTACCAACAGACCCCTGGCAGTCTTCAAGCTGGCACTGGACAAGCACCTAAAGTCGGTTCCTGACCAGCCGGGCTGTGGCTCGTACGTTGGTTTGCGTGCAGCCAGCAGCAACAGCCTGGTTGATCAGGCTCTGATCCACCAGGCGGCCTGGTCACAGACCGGGCCGCGGAGGCGTTGACCCCCGGAACTCTCTCCAGGTAAACTCCAGATTCACTGATGTCATGTCATATTAACTCTCACATTTTAAGAGGAAAGTAAAAATAGGTTAGATAAATGCATGAGTGGGTGTGGGTGTAAGTTGGACCTGACTAGCTTGTGCTACTGGTTCAGATGTCGTGCTCTTTCTTTCAGTGGATGTGACCTGACTAAGTGGGTCACTGGTCTAAGCCGAGGGGTGACATGGATCTGCTTTGCATGGGCCAGTAGGCCTGCTGCAGTATTCCTTCTTTCTTATGTTCTTATTTTGTATTATCACCAACAGAGACAAGAGGCCATAACAGTCCAAGAAAATGCAATCTACCCCCCCCCCCTCTCTTTCTTGTCTTGCTGCTGTCACTTTTTCATAGAACTCTAGTAGGTTTGTGACACAGGATTCCCAGTCTCTGAATCCTTGCTGGTTGTTGTTTATAAGCTCATACCTTTTTGGATGGTCCACCACTCTTCTGATAATCTTCTCCATGACTTTGTATACATGTCAGTGACACTGGTCTGTCATTTAATGCTGCATGTCTGTCCCATTTTTTAAAAATTGGGACTACATCTGCTGTCTTCCATACCTCAAGTAGTAGCCTTGTTTCAATAGATGTGTTGAAGACTGTTGTTAGTGGTACACAGAGCGCCTCTGCTCCCTCTCTCAGGACCCCTGTTGAGATGTTATCTGGCTCCATCGCCTTTGAGATATCTAGTTTGCTTAGCAGCCTCTTCACCACCTCCTTGGATGTATCGTGTCCAGCACTTACTGGTGTATCCCACCTCTCTTGTCTTTCTGGGGTCCTTTCTGTCTCCACTGTGAATACTTCTTTCAATCTCATGTTGAGCTCCTCAAAAACTTCAAGGTCTTTTCTTGTAAACTCCCCTCTTTCCTTCCTCAGCCTAATTACCTGGTCTTCGACCGTTGTTTTCTTCCTGATGTGACTGTACAACAGCTTCGGGTCAGACTTGCCTTTTGCTATGTCATTTTCGTATTGTCATTGGGCCTCCCTCCTTACCTGTGCATGTTCATTTATTGCTCTCTCCTGGGTCATTTGCTTTCTGTATGTCTTCCATTCTCTAGTACACTTTATTTTAGTCTCTCTATACCTCTGGGTAAAACAAGGGCTCAACCTGGCCCTCTCATTATGTCTTTTGCCTTTGGGAATAAACCTCTCCTCTGCTTCCTTGCATATTGTTGTCACATGTGTGCTTGTGTGTGCACACGTGTGTACTCGCTGAACTGTACTCACCTAACTGTGGTTGCAGGGGTCGATACTCAGCTCCTGGCCCACCTCTTCATTGAATGCTACTAGGTCCTCTCTCTCCCTGCTCCGTGAGCTTTATCATACCTCGTCTTAAAGCTATGTATGATTTCTGCCTCCACTACATCACTTGCTAGACTATTCCACTTCCTGACTACTCTATGACTGAAGAAATACTTCCTAACATCCCTTTAACTCATCTGAGTCTTCAACTTCAAAGTGTGACCCCTTGTTTCTGTGTCCCTTCTCTGGAACATCCTGTCTGTTCACCTTGTCTATTCCACATCGTATTTTGTATGTCGTTATCATGTCTCCTCTAACCCTCCTGTCCTCCAGTGTCGTCAGGCTGATTTCCCTTAACCATTCTTCATAGAACATTCCCCTTAGCTCTGGAACTAACCTTGTCACAAACCTTTGCACTTTCTCTAATTTCTTGATGTGCTTGACCCGGTGTGGGTTCCAAACCGGTGCTGCATATTCCAATATGGGCCTGACGTACATGGTGTACAGTGTCTTGAATGCTTCCTTACTAAAATATTGGAACACTATTCTCAGGTCTGCCAGGCACCCACATGCTACAGTAGTTATCTGGTTGATGTGTACTTCCAGAGATGTGCTCAGTGTTATACTCATCCCAAGATCTTTCTCCTTAAGCAAGGTTTGCAGTCTTTGGCCACCTAGCCTATACTCTGTCTGCAGTCTTCTTTGCCCTTCTCCGATCTTCATGACTTTGCATTTAGCGGGGTTAAATTCGATAAGCCAGTTGCTGGACCAGGTGTCCAGCCTGTCCAGGTCTCTTTGAAGTCCTGCCTGATCCTCATCTGATTTAATTCTCCTCATTAACTTCACATCGTCTGCAAACAGGGACACTTCTGAGTCTATCCCTGCCATCATGTCATTCACATATACCAAAAATAGCACAGGTCCTAGGACCAACCCCTGTGGGACCCCGCTTGTCACAGGTGCCCACTGTGATACCTCATCATGTACCATGACTTGTTGTTGCCTCCCTGTCAGGTATTCTCTGTTCCATTGCAGTGCTTTTCCTGTTATACGTGCCTGATCCTCTAGCTTCTGCACTAATCTCTTGTGAGAAACTGTGTTGAATGCCTTCTTGCAGTCCAAGAAAATGCAATCAACCCACCCTCTCTCTCTCATGTTTTACTTCTGTTACTTTATCATAAAATTCCAGAAGGTTTGTGACACAGCATTTGCCTTCCATGAATCTGGGCTGGTTGTCATTTATACTTTAGTTTCATTTCAGGTGCTCCACCACTCCTCCTGATAATCTTCTCCATGACTTTGCATACTATACACATCAGTGACACTGGTCTATAGTTTAGTGCTTCTTTTCTGTCTTCTTTTTTAATCCTTAAACTGTCAAAACGTAGATCTACGTCCACATGCGAGGGGCTCTGAATGTAGATCTAAATTTTTTTTTACAAGCTTTCAAATGGGGAAAATCAAGGTTGGAGCGCTACGCACGTGAACGTAGATCTAGGTTTGGACAGTTTAAGTGTTAAAAATGGGAACTACATTTGCCGTCTTCCATACCTCAGGTAGTTGCCCAGTTTCAAGGGATGTGTTGATGATTGTGGTTAGTGGCACATACACAGTTTCTGCTCCCTCACTAAGGACCCACAGGGAGTTGTTGTCCGGTCCCATTGCCTTCGAGGTATCAAGGTCACTTAACAGGTTCTTCACCTCCTCAGTTGTGTGTATGTCATCCAACACTAGTTGGTGTCCCCCTCTGTCCTGTCTTCCCAGAGTCCTACCTGTCTCCACGGTAAATACTTCCTTAAATCTCGTGTTGAGCTCCTCACATACCTCATGATCATTTCTTGTGAGTTCCCCACCTTATTTCCTCAGCCTGATCACCTGGTCTTTGCCTGTTGTCTTCCTCCTAATGTGGCTATACAGCAGTTTCGGGTCAGACTTGACTTTCGAGGCTATGTCGTTTTCGTACTGTCCCTGAGCCTCCCTCCTTATCTGTGTATACTTGTTTCTGGCTCTTTGTCTAATCTCCTTATTTTCCTGGGTCCTTTGCCTTCTGTACCTTTTCCAGTCTCTAGTGCACTTAGTTTTTGCCTCCCTACACCTTCGGGTAAACCAAGGACTCACTTTGGTCTTCCCATTATTTCTGTTGCCCTTGGGAACAAACCTTTCCTCTGCCTCCTTGCAGTTTCAAATTCAAATTCCTTTATTTCTTTGCAAGTAGTACATTGAGATTATAT